GTCGCAAAGGTGAAGTAGACTCGCTTCCACTTCGTACGTCTGCTTTATGAGATCGTACATGATCTTTGCATTCGAGACAGACCTGTGTCTTCCCGATTTGCAAAACATAAAGATCACGCACTGCTCGTTCTCCTGGATGAGCTTGTGCACGGCCGGCACGACCTCCTTCATGAACGCCACCCATTTTCCGTTCGTCTTTGGGTCCAAAACCATGGCTTGCACGTTCTTGGGGTACGTGCCTAAGTGGTCCCTGAGGGACTTGTCCTTGCCCGGGTCGTTCATGTGCCGGCAGTCCAGAAAAAGGATCTGCTCCGTGGCGTAGTCCCGGAAGGACTCAAAGTTCTGGCGCAGGCTTTCCAGAAGCGTGTCCTCGTGGGCCTCGTTGTTCAGCGAGAACTCGTGCGACTGCCCTTTTCGCATACCACGGATAAGTTCCGTGAGTCCACGGTAGGTGCCGCGCCCACGTTGGCAGGTCTCTAGCTTCTCCAAGCCCAACGTGACCACCAAAACGTTCTTCCGCTGCCCTTCTGTCTCCTTCACCATCTCGGACAGCATATACGCCGTGCTGTCCTTGTCCCCTGAAGGGATCAAGGTTTCTTTCTTGCGTGCCGTCCCGTCCCTCAAAGGGATCGAGAAAGTGTTCTTCTCCTTCTTAGATGTCCTCTTAGGGATCACCTCCGGATTCACTGCAAACTTTCTGTGCCTCTCTGTAACGTTCGCCCCAAACTGGCTCACGCACAGGAGGAGGAGGCCGGTCTTCGAGTGCCTCGCCAACTGCAGTGTCCCGGCGTAGCCCGAGATTCGGCACTCGCCACCCCTAGGTCCTTGATCAGGCCAAGCTGAACCTGATCCTGCAAGGACAGGAGGCAGAGCACGTCCGGAGAGTCCAGCTCCACGCTGGAGAGCTCTCCCTGCAGACGGGTGCTCCGGCGAAGGCCTCCGCTCTCCGGCATGATGCGGAGGGCGAACGGCATCGCGAACTTGCCCGTCGCTCGAGCCGCTCCAATGCCCTTGAAGCTCGTGCCGCTCGAGCGCACGCTGGTGAACTGCAACCCAAACTTTGCCAGGACCTTTGAGGAGTGAGCCCTCCATTTCGTCCCGTGGCATGTCTGGTTGCAGCCCTCGTCCAGCATTACCCAGACGTTTTCGTGGTCCTCTAAGGGATCCACGAGCTGGAGTTGCGGCTCAGCAATCTCCTCGTCCAGGGGTGCAGGCTCACTGTCTGAGCTCTGCACGCTCTTTGGGCTGATGTCTCCTTCGAGATCATCTCGCTGCAGCTGCCCCACCAAGGCTGTGAGGGTCAGCTTGGTGTCCCCTTCGGGATCACCACTCTTCTCCGCCGTCGCCACGCCGGCGAACTTTTCGCGGGCTCCCCAGCCCTTCCCGCTGGGAGGAGACGCCGCCACGGCGTCCCTAGCAGCTGCTCCTCTCTCTCTCGGGCCAGCTGCTGCTGCGGTGGCGGGCGAAGCTTGCTCACGAGGCTGTGCACTCCTACGCTCTCTACGTACGGGGGAAAACGCAGGCAAAGGTGGGGGCTCTACGTCCTGACTAGACCTAGCTACATCAGCGGCCCTGCCATGTTGCATGCGTAACTTCGTCTGCTCTACAACCTGGTCCATAGCATCCTCAAGGCAACTAGACAACTCGGTTGAACTGACTTGGTCAACTTTCAACAAAAACTTGTCCATGTGCTTGAAGAACTTCTTTACCACCTCACCTGCCTCAAACTTCGTAAAGTTGTACTCCTCCAGCTGTCTCCTCGTGAGGTTCTGCACCTTGAGTGGAGACTGCTGCACCTGCTCGGCGAGTCCCTTCTGCTCCTTAAAGAGCTTCTGCGGGATTTCCTCTACTACAGTGCAACAATCAAGACAATAGGTGCGGTGTACCGATCTCGTGCTGTTCCTGTTGTCCGTGCGCTTGTGCTCGCACGTGAGTGGGTCCTTCTTCGGTACAGCCTTTGGTCTCGGGTTTGAGGTCCTGTTACCGCACAACATGCAAGTGGTCTTGATTACGTGCGCATTGCTCCCTGCTTTGTTCAATGCATGTGCGGGACATCCTCCAACGCACGGTCCTTTGGGATCCGGCTTCAACAACCCGAGCTTGCTCTTAGGTGCCTTCTCAAGGTAGCCTTCTGCAGCGAATCGGCCTCCACCGGCAACGTGGCTGCCCTAAGTGTCGCCCTTCCACCGCCAACCGGCGGAACCTCAAAGTTGCGATACACCCAGACAAGCCATGCTTCTAGCATGGTGCTCGGCTCTTTCTCCTTGAGGCCCCAATGGTAGTAATCGGGGTGGTTCTGCAAAACCTCAAGGTAGGTGCTACCCCTATGCATCCCGAACCGAAACACCTGGTCGCTGCCGTCAGGGTACTCTATGGTATCCCATTCCGTGGAGGGAGCACCTTGCGACGCAAAGTCGTCCAAGAGCTCTTCGTCGGACTCTTCAAAGTCAGTCTTGTCGAAGAAACCCATGTACGCCGCAGGCTCCGTCTCAGAGTCCTGACCCAAGCTAACGTAGTTCGCTGTTGGCTCCGGGTCAAAGCTTTGACTCTCGCTGTCGCTCTCGCTGAGGCTAGCGATGAAGTCACAGGTCTGTGTGGATTTATCCATCACACGCCTGACCTGGGCAAGGTGTGCCACTGCGGGCTTTCCTGCACCTTTCCCTGGGCCTGGGCATTCCTTGTCACCAGCCCAGTGGCCCTTTCTGCCACACGTTTTGCACGTGCTTCTGAGTTTAATCTCATGAAGCTTCCGTCTCCTGTCGTCAACAGTGAGACCGGTAGATCGCGGCCGATATCCATGTGCACTCCTCTGCATCACAGACTTTCCTTTACCCTTAGCCTTGGCCCGCGCCATAAAGGCAACGGTCTCGCACTGCACGGTGTCTGCGAGAAACGCCAAAGCCTCTTTGTCTTCCTCATCGAACCCAGCGCCTATGAAGGCGGTGAAGACATCAAGCTCGACGTCCCTTAGGGAAGCGTCGGCCGACTGGGCAACACACGCGGTGTCCTCTTCCTTGTCGTACACGGGGAGCTCTTCTCCGTGGTACGCCCAGTCCTGCCCATCACCGTCCTGGCCGTCCTGGTCCTCTTGTCCTGCCAGGTAGGCTGTTCCGTCGTCGTCTTCCTCGGCGTCAGGGTACTCGAAAAGGTCTTCAACGGCCGAAAGGTACGTGTAAGCAGTCCCTTTCTGGGATCTCTTTCCGTATCCTTTACCTTTTCCTCGGTCTCCCTTCCTGTGGAAACCTTTCCCTTTGCCAGTCCCGCCTTTGGCGGATGGCTGCTTTCGTTCCAACGTGTGGATACGATTATGCATGCGAATCAGCGATGCTTCAGCATCCTTCGTCGCTGTGCTGCCTGACATCGAGGTCAGCACCATGAGTCGCTCTTGCCGGGTGAGCCCGCTGTTGTCCAGCAACAGATCTGTCAGCACCGCTTCACTTATGTGAAGGGCCTTGTCTAATTGCTGAAGCTTGCGTAGCCACCGCTTGCGGCGGTCGATGTAGGAGATCATCGGCTCTCCCGGCTGTCGTGACAACATGCCGCCGACTTGGGTCCCTAGCCGATAAAGTTCTTTCGTCGTCTTGTTCCGCCAGAGGGAACAGGCGTTCTCTAACTGCCTCGATCACCTTGGGGATGTTTTGACTCGAGAACAAAACGTCGGTACCCAAATCCTCTGCGACAATGTATGCCTCGCTCCTTAAGGAGTCGAGGAACTTGGACGCAAGGTCGGATCTCTCCTCAACCTTGGTCTGCTTCCATCTCGTCATAGCTCGGAACTCCCACTCGTGGAAGTCACGAACGGTTCCGGCATAGACTAGGAAGCCAAACTTCGTCAGGTCTGTGTCCAGATCCTGGTGTGGTCGATATGCCAGCGATCCACTAGCCATGGCGACCACACGCCCGCGCAGGGGGCGTACTATTGGGCTACGAGCTCTGGTTCTCTTAACCGAGAGCTCCGCTACCAGTGCGAAGACTAGTCACTTTTCCGCTCAGCCGTAGGCTTGAACTCAAGGGGCCCCTGCGGTCAAGGGGTTGTCTCAAGCTGTACAAACTCTAGGTACACACACTGTACGCGCTGCAAAACAGGTTGATTTCACAGTTTGCGTGCAGACCCTAAACCCTTAGGGCTTGAGGCTTCTTAAGTTACGCCATGCTTTTTCCGGCAGCTATCTACGATTCCATCCTGAACCCTAAAACCTAAACAGGCCCTCATCCAATCCTCGGAAAACCCTAAAGGAAGCTCAAGCAAACCCTCATGGAATCCATATGAAACCCTTCAGGAATCCTTGTAGAATCCTTACACAGCCTTTCAATAGTCCTCGTAAAAACTGCCGGAAATGACCTCGTCACATGTGTGCGTGTGTGTGCGCGCGAATCTCGATGTATACGTCTACCGATCGATCGATCTATTATCGACCCATCTGTCCATCTGTCTATCGGTCTGTCTGTTTATCCATGTGCCTATCTGTATACGATATATATATATATAGAGAGAGAAAGAGAGTGCGTATGTATCTGTCTCTCTATCTCTCTCTCTCTATCTCTCTCTCTCTCTCTCTCTCTCTCTCTCTCTCGCTCTTTGTCTGACTGTTTGCCAGGCTGTCTACCTACCGACCTACCTGCCTAGCCAGCCATCTATCCTTCTTTGTGTCTGCCCATCTAACTACCTGGCTGTTTATACCTACACTTGTATTGTCTTTCTGGTTCATGCGTCGGGTAGCTGTTCAGCAAACGAGCTTTCTAACATGGGAGTTTTGAGAAACGAAGGGACTCGATCGAAACCTCAAAGAAAACGGGATCCTTACTCTTTATGAGCCTTATCTAGACCTAAGAGTAACCTAGGAATAAAAAGGGTGCCCTTTTTGGTTTAAAGGGGGTTATAAGGGAACCTAAACCCTGAAAAAGGGAGTAAGGGCCTACTCCGGGTCCTAGTTATGATAGGGATTTAGGTTGCGCTGTTTCGGGAGTTGTAAGGACACGTCAGATGCTCCGGTCCGGCCTCATGGGTTCATGGCCTCAAACCTCTCCACAGCATTCTTCAAGTTCTCCTCAAGACAGCCCACAGGTAGGGCCGCCACAGAAACTTTGGGACACTTTAGAATAAGGATCCCAAAGCCTACACCCTAACCTAAACCCTGAACCCTTATCCGGTAGATTCTTTGTCTTCGCTCTCAGTTTAGTTTAACCTTACCTTTGCTTGGTAGGGAATGGAGGAATGGGGTACACTAGTAACTACTATTACTACCATTCTTCCATTCCTTACTAACCAACAGTAAGTAAAGCCCCAGGCTCAGGCATTTGAGGATTGGGGCTCCGGATTACGGGGTAAGGCTTCGATGCGGATTCGATGGTTGCGCATGATTGCTGTGGGATTCGGGCCAAGCTCAGGAGACCAATGCACAGCTCAGTTGAAGAAGAGTTCTAATATGATTTTGCAGAATACTCCCGAATCTTATCGGGCTCTCCGGCGACTTCCACGACTACGTGCCGTTGAAGTTTCGGTTTAATGGGCTTAGGGCCTAAAGCTTAGGAAACATTGGTCAAAGTCTGTGTGGCAGTCTTCAACTTTCTGGCCTTGTGCGTCGCTTCCCGTAATCTCCATTCTTGATATGCAGATGAAGCATGGCACGTAATTAGCAACGTCCTGACCGGAAATCAAACATTCCGAGGCCGTGAATACAGGATCATTATACTATCGTAATCGCTGCGTGCAGACTGTAGGCAGGATTGTCAGCAAGTCTGCAAAGGGCAGGGTTTGGGGCTTGGGACATGTCGACGGTGAAAGGTTCAGGATGAAAGGCTAATGTGGACTGGCGGTTTGCGAAACGGGGCCGTTATTAAACATGCGCCTTTTAACATGGTATGCCTTAAGACTTAAGACAGAGCACAACTGGCTTTATTTCACGAGCCTCCGAGAATAACCCTGAGATTGAAAACCAAGGAAGGGGTTTTATGCTTCGGTTGGGCTTAAAGGGAACTCCAGAAAGTTGGAATATGGTTTCAGGGTAGGATACCTTATAATTTACCATAGAAGGGTTTAGGATAATCATATTCCAACTTTCTGGCTTCTACTCCATAGTAGTTCCTTTTTGGGATTACCTTATAGGGTTCTATATATGAAACCAAAAAGGAACTACTATGGGGCCTATGGGTAGGGCCGTGAATCCAGGCTCCGCTCCTCGTTGTTGAACAACACCAGGTACTGTCGGACGAAAATCTCAGCACATTTTACACTAGGGTTTAGGGTTTAGGGGTTTTGGAGGAGATATTAATGTAGAACGGAGGGCGTTGGGTGTAAGTGTAAGGGTCTCAACACTTCGAGGCCGACGAAGGTGAGAGGGCGCACATGGGCATCTGCTTACGAAGCTTTTCGAAATTCGTTAATTAAGACCACGTTAAGTTTCTCTTGCAGGGTACGCTGTGGGATGACTCACGTGTATGCGAAGCCCCAAACCTTAAACTCTCAGCATAAACCGTTCGTCTTTCTACAGTGGCGTCAGAGGGAGGAGCTACCGTGATTCATGCATAATTACGTATATACAGACATGCGTGTGTGTAGCTGCATGTGTGTGTGTGTGTGTGTGTGCGTGGATGGTGCCCGTCGCCAACTGCCACAACACTCGAGGCATCGTTTGGTTTGTCCAATTTGCCTGTCCAGCTTTGTGCGCGTTGCCACAGCGTCATACAAGACTATTATTTCGAAGATCTGGTACCAAAGACTTCTCACAGAATACCAGGAACAACTCGGCGCACTCAGGAACCCTCTCCCACAAACGCGTCGTCACTACGGCGGCGGTCTCCCTCAAAGAACATATATGGATCGCACTGGCCACACGAGATTCACACCACTGAAAGCGCTTGCTGATGGATGCTTATGCTGAGCTCGATGCCACAAGCTTGGGTATGCAATGATTGCTACTTGTAACAGCATCTGCCCAAAAGCCAGGCTATGTTCAACGATCCTCAACAGATGTTGACATGCATCACCACCAGATTGAAGCGCCCACAAGAAACAGTCGTTCCATCCGGTTCAAGCTGAACATCTTATTGATTTGGTCTGCGTGCGGCGGTTATGAACGGATTTGTGAGTTGGGTGTTGGAACTGCATGTGCAGGCGGTCAATATGAATGCACGCACACGAAAACTTATTCGCTGTGTGCACATGTGTATAAATAAATAAACATATAGTGAAAAACCCTCTTCATGCTGCTGTGGCAGACTGTGCTACTACTCATGCTGAACATGCCCGAAAAGCATAATGAACTCGTTGATGCAGTACAACATCTAATCTTACAGGATAAGCACCTATCAACATCAGATCATGTACCCGTTTCATGCAGATGGGTGGTTGTCAATATTAGGGTCCTTTTTTGGGTCCCTATTATAATATGGCACCTAATGCTTGGGGCACCCAAAAAGGAACCATAATTTTGACAACCACCCCGATGGTCACGGCCTGGGCTCGGAGTGTCATGATCGAACACGACAAGTGACAGTGAAGTCGTGAAAAAGGTTTAGGGCTTGGGGTTGAGAGTCGTGATCCTTGCGTTCTTCCTGCTCTTGTGCTTTGTTGCTCCCGATACCTTTGATCTTGCTCTTGCTTGCCCTTGCAAAGCGTCACCGTTTTGGACTGTTCCTACTCCACACATTGAGGCCGCTACATACCCTAAACTATCCTCCACTCTCAACTCCAAACCCTAAACTCCGAGCCCCTGTACTCTCCTAAAATCCTGGCAGGATCTAGAAAACAAATCAGTAGTATACTCATGAAGCACGCCGTAGAAGTATGATATGGGGTCCTGAAGAACAAGAATAGGGTTCTGGTTCACATAATTGTTACTTATACTAAGCAAGCCCAAGCAATGGCATCGCCGAATACTCAAGCTTCTTTACAAGCATTCTCAATTGGGGGTTCTACGGTTGATGATATGAATCCTGCAATACCCAGAATAAGGAATATACCATTTTTCCCATAGTTTGGGGTCCTTAAGGTCATGCAGGATTTATATCATCAACCCTCAACCCTAAACCCTATAGATCCCTTAACGGAAGCCCTTAAAGGTACCCCTTATAGATCCCTTTAAAGGAACCCTAGGATTTATATCATCAACCGTAGCTTCCCGGTCCTCTTAGAGGTCCCGCAAGGTTTCCCAACCTAGATCCTCGTGAAGGTCTGGGAAGTCCTTCCCCGAGCTCCTTACGAACCAAAGGTAAGAGAAACAGACTCTAGGGTATTATGGTAAAGCCTAAACCCTGAACCCTCAAAGATCCCTCAACGTAAGGATCCCTATTATGGTATCTTACAATAGAAGCCGAAAAGTTGGAAACGCAATAGCCTCAATCCTCCTTAAGAGTTATGTATAGGGAATCCCAGCACCATTTGGCCTTAACCCGGTTTCCAACTTTACGGGCTTTACTGTAAACCCCTTACCCTAAACCCTTAACCCTGAACCCCTAAACCCTAAACCCTTAAACCCTTAAACCCTAAACCCTCTAACCCCAAACACTGAGACCCTCAAGCGTGCAGCAACAAGGCCCACAACGTCTCGCCCTAAGCCCAAGCACCCTGCCTCGTTGGCAAAGTTGTAGACTTGGGTGCTCTTGTTTGCGATGTAGGTCGCCAAGGCCTTCTCCTGGCAGATGCTGTAAATAGTGTTCAGGGTTCAAGGTTTAGGGTGTACGGTTGACCTTTCAGGCTTTACCCCAACCCCACATAACCTACCTGTTTAAGGACGCACATGAAGAAACTATAATCAGGAACCCGAATAAAGTAGGTTTCATGTTTCATAGACTTGCGGGTTTGGGATCCGTTCCTGTGAGATGGGGCCACCCTAGCTTCGGGCCATAATCCTAAACATCACATGTTGGAACCCCAAACCCCCAACCTTAAGCCTACATCCCGCATGTTGGGGATTACGGCAAACACTGAATACTGGAAACCCGGCCACTTCAGTCTCAGAGACACGCGAGCTAGAGTCTGCAGTCCAGGGGTCAGGGCCTTTATGGTTTTAGGGTTTAGGGCTTATAGGGATTAGAGTGTGATTCCGCAAAGCATGCATTCAACGTAAAAGCATGTTAACATGACCTAAGAACTAAGCAATGTGTTCCTTAATCTCTATGAGAGGTTCTTAATGCAGACCCCTCAATTAAACAACCCTCTCCATCCACAATTAATATAAGACGGATCCGAACACGGGGGCCTTGAATTAAAAGGGATTTATTGGAGAGGAGATTACACTACCCTTATATAAGGGCTGTGTGGTACTGAGCTGGTTCTGCATTCTGAAGCGCATGCGGCCTGAGATTAGACTTTAGGGAGGTTTCGGGCTCATGGGCATTTGGGCGTGATGCCCTAAACCCTAAACCCTAAACCCTAAACCCTAAACCAGGGGCTTGTGGCTCAGGCTAGTTTAGGGACCTAGGGCTTGTTGGGCTTCAGGGCCTTACACCCAGGATCCTGATCGGCTAGCCCCAAACCCAAACTTTGGAGCCTAAACCCCAAACTGAACCCTAAACCCTAAACACTACACCCTAAACCCTAAACCCTAAGCCCTACACTCTAAACCCTAAACACTACACCCTAAACCCTAAACAGCCCCTAAACCCTAAACCCAAACTTTGGGGCCTAGGGCCCAGAGGCTTCTAGAACGGATCAGTTGCTTGGTGCTTGGATGCTTTACCGTCCAGATAGTAGTCGGGTTTAGGGTTTAGGTAGGATCTTATCAAAGGAACCCTGAATTCATGGAACTCTGTTCATCAAGCTTCTTGAAAAGCCAATCCAAGTGCAGTCTTTGCAGGCTGCCTAGGTTCCTGAGCAACCCCTTTATAGTAAGTGTAACCTTCTTCTACTGTTCGGTCGAAATCAGCGGACGCTAAAAAGAAAAGGGGCAAGAGGGTATGACTCAGGAACCTAGCCCTAAACCCTCCACTCTCACAGAACCCCTGTAGATCCCTTCAAGAAGCCCTACAGTAAGAAAGGGGCAAAAGGGTCCCGGGTACTAGTCAGGAACCTAGCTGCTCGAGGAACAGAGACGGGGCTTGTCGGGAAACTTCAAGGATGCGAATTAGGGCATTAGGGTTAGGGGTTTATGGTTTAGGGTTTAGGGTTTAGGGGTTTAGGGGTTTAGGGTTTCGGGCTTATTTAGGGCTTGGGGCTTAGGGCTTAACTGCGGTTTAGGGCTTAGGGCTTCATTCGGATTGAGACTATGTCAACAAACCTTTACACCTGCAAGGCAACCCTCACAAGAAACGCCTCCAGCCCAAGTATCAACCAGGAACCCTACACCCTGACCGCCTAAAAATCTGCCTTAAACGCGCTCTATTTACTGCAAACCCGACCGCGGTAATTAAACCCCCCCAAAAACCAATACCCGAAAATCCCCAACCCCACAGCGACAAAATCCGAGACTCCCAAACCCGGTAAACCCTCTTGAAAGTAGCAGTACAATAATATATTGCAAATAAGGCAATACTACTATATAACTCAACTCAAAAATGACTCAAAAATATATCTTATCATGATAAAATCCAAATCAAAGTCTTAACCCTGAACCCCAAAACCCTTAACCCGAAAGCCATCCCTGAATTCCTATAACAGTAGAAGCCCAAAAGTTGGAAACCCAATAGCCTCAATCCGAAAGAGTAATGCAAAAGGAATCCCAGCCCTATTTGTGCTGAATCCGGCTTCCAAGTTTTGGATTTTGCTATGTTTTGAGGTCCTGAAGTCCTATCATCGCAACAAGCCCATAAAGTCGTCACCCACATAGACTCAAACTTCCTAAACCCAAACCTTGCTGAAGTTCCGCCTTATAAACCCAACTTACAAACCCAAATTCCTAAACTATACCCCCCTTACAGCCATAATACAAGTAACCTTGCTAATATTCTCCTGAGTTTTCTATGAACAACAAAAAGCAATTCCCAAGGAGACGATAGTAAACACTAAGTTCGGAAGTCCTACAATCTCATACCTGCAGCCGCACGCCTCGTCCGTCCAATCGAGCTTGGTGTCAGAGTTGTCCTTGTCCTGCGAGAACCCTTACTTGTCCAGTAGCCTAGGGTCCTATGGGAACTAAAGGTGAACCTGTGGGATTATATACGGAATGTACAGGGATCATAGTGGGACTTTAACTAGTCTACCACTCGGAATCGAACCCTGGAGTTCTGCTTTAAAGAAGGGTTTAGAGTTGAATTTGCGGAGAGGATAGGATAGGGTTAAGAACTTGAGGCTTCTACGGTTTTTTAGGGCCTCTGCTTGTCTTAGAAGTTTGGAGGTCGCGGGAGTATCTCAAGGCTCAGCGCAGATGTCTCGAGTTTGGGGTTTAGAATATGGGAGTTTCCGAAAATTAGGGGTTCCTTATTAGGGGGTCCTTATAATAAGGATCCTACTATTTAGGGTACGATATTAGGGTCCTTTATTTTCGGAAACTCCCATATGTTTCTGTTGAAACTTCTCTACAATATACCTGCCCAGAACTTTATTTATAGGAATCCCCATTAAGAGATCTACTTTTTGGATCCTCCCCGGGGTCTGGGTGGAAGCCTCAGCCCTGGTCTTAGAAGACACACGTGCACATACAACCCTGACTGCGTGATTCTCCAGCGCTCTCACTCGACTCTGACCACCTTGACCGGTCGCGAACCTAAACAAGCCTTTACCCTGACATCGCAAACCCTGAACCCCCACCCCCGAAATCTAACAGTTTCACCTTAAACTACATGGGTTAGCAACAGTAGGGGAAGAATACAGCTGCAGAAGGACTCTATGATGTTATGATGGTTTTGTAGGGCTTCTAGAGTTGACTCGGATTTAGGGCTTTAGGGTTTCAGATGGTTTTAGGTTTTTGACATAGCCTGCAAGAGTTTCGATAGGGTTTAGGGCTTGGGTGGAAAACGATATCATATAAACCATGCGCAGACTATTGAGGGATATTGTTGCTAGTGAATGAGAGCCAATAAATAGGGGGTTGCGGGCTGCTGCTTCGCCTCCTAAACCGCCTCACATGCCTATCACCACAGCGTGCTATGCTTAGCATCTCGGTCCCGCGGCACGCCCTGACCGATCACTGCCATCTCGTCTGCTGTCAAGCCTCAGTGCTTCAATTAGACGCGGTGCTCCTGAAATTCCGTGCGAGCTACGTCTAGGGTTTTGAGTTATGTCTGAAATTTTCCTGGACGTCCATGACATTTCTGGGGAATACCCTAAGGCTCCATAGTAGTTCCTTTTTCGGGTTCATATTTAGAATCCTATTAGGTAATCCCACAAAGGAACTGCTATGGAGCCTCTGGGTATCTTGACTTCGAAGTCGTCCTTGAAGGTCCCTTGGGCTCTGCAGCTGGCTCCAAGCCCCCTAAGCCCTACAGTAGAAGCCAGAAAGTTGGAATATCATTATCGTAACCCCTTTAAGGTAAATTATAGGGGATCCTACCATTGTCCATATTCCAACTTTCTGGAGTTCCCTTTACACCCTGAAACCGTAGAACAAGGTTTAAGGCATGAG